GGTGGCTCTCTCTTAAAGGCAGAAACCCAGCCTGCCATGGGGGTGATGTTTAGGAAGATAAAGAGGAAGACCCTCGGGAATCACTGCTTGGGCTTTCCCACCCTCAGAGGTCAGAGGATCCTCCCTCCCCAGTTCATCCTTCCTTTTCTGAAAATCAGTTTCTCTAGGTACAAAAAAGTCTCACAGCTCTTGGGCTTATGTTCCCAGTTCACAGGACCTGTCTACCCTAAGACTAGCATTGCCCAGGTCCAACTGCTAAATTCCTGGGAAAACCAGACTGGCCAGGGGCAAACAGCTTCAGCCAGGCAAGTCTGGCTGGTTTCTCGGGTTTCCTTCCTTCCTCCCTCCCCAGGAAGGAGGAGCAGCTCAGAAGAGACCCCTGGAGACATCCCCACACCAGTGCTAGAGTTTTACCCTGAGGCATCCCTCTGCACTTCCTCTTTCTCCTGCCACTCCCCCAGTGTGGCCTTGTCAAAGTCCTTTCAGGCTGACTCCCATCATCCACTCAGCTTTCACTACTCATTCCTTCACATTCAATGCCTTCTGCTCCTTTCCTTCATTAAACTTCTTCTCAAAGCTACCAAACATCTCTTCTCCTGCCCAGAACATGACAAATACTCTATTTTAAATGTATTTTAGCAAACAAAATAAACAAGCCATATTTTAAATGTGTAGAATGTTTTCTCCTGTGTTTGGAATACTACTTATCATGCACTACTATAAATGTTCAACATGGTCATATCTGCCTTCTGGTGTCCATTTTATAGCCTCTGGATTTATTCAATTTCCTTTTCACTTATTTTGTAATTAATACCACATAATTTGTAACTAACCACATTGCTTAAGCATAATACTGAATAACCTCTTAACAAAAAAATCTTTCAACAGAAAAGACTGCAAAGCAATCCTTTGGAAACGCAAATCTATTTCAGGTTCTCTGATCAAAACATAGCTTCTTTTCTTATGCAATAAGACTGCCGTTTTCAAGTTAAACAAAGTTTAAATTCTTGCCCAGAAGTTAGTTACTATGTCATCTGAATGCACACAGTTCCTAGGAAAATAAGTAATTTCTGAGCAATTGTGAAGAATGTCATCTTTTTACTTATATCTGTACACAGTAGTAAGTAATATTTCATCCAACAATGAAAAATTACAGAAGTCATTTTGACCATGTTCATCTACAAATCCTGGCATCTAATCTGTGTCCCTATATACTGGTTATGCAGTAAACGTCTGATGGGCTACTAACATACACACATATAGCTACATATTTATAAATTACCATTATATACCCATGAGGCTTTACATATGCTCATTTAAACATGTATATATATTGGTTATGAACCAGACAAGCTTCTCAAATGTTAATGTACATTCAAATCATGAAGGGATCTTATTCAAGTGCTGATTGTGATTTAGTAGCCCCAGGATAGAAACCAATAGTGCAGTTCTACTAACTTCTCAGGTCATGTTGATTAGGCTGGACCACAAACAACACTTTGAATTGTTATATTTTTACTCCCTTTAGTAGAAAATCATAGACAAATATGCTAATAATTAGAAGGCCCTGTTTCTCAAAGCTCATGTTTAATCATTAGGGAAATAGATGATAATATTCTCAAAGAAAATCATCTTTATTATTAGACTCAATCCTTCCATAAGTATTTATAGAGTACCTATGCCATCATTCTTCCACACAGCCTAATTAATGGCGAAAATGCAGCTAGAGGCTTCTCTGTATTCTTAGAGATGGACAATAAAAAGAGCATGAAAAGCCCAGGTGCACAGGTGCCTGTATTTCCTGAATCAAGAGTGAGGCAGAGGATTACAGGTTCAAGGCCAATCTGGGCAACTGAGTGACACCCCGTCTCAAAATTAAAAATTGTAAAAAGGCTGGAGCTAGAGATGTAATTCAGTAGTAGAGCACCCCTGGGTTCAGTATCAAAAATAAAAAAGAGAGAGAACACTATAGAGTGATAAAAATACATGTAGGGAAAGGGATGGATAAGCAATTGCTTAAGACTCTGTGCCTTCATGAGGCTCCCAAGCCTTCAAACTATCACCCATGTCTGCCTCTTCTCTGGCTGACAAGTTGAAAGCTACATGTCTCTGGGGCCAACATCAATTTGCCAGATTAAAGCATTATCCCACCTCTTCCAGTCAAATATTACATCAAGTTTGATAAAGAAGCAATACCCAAGAAAAAAATAGTTATAACACTTAAAAACCAGGAAAAATTTTTTTGAAGAATTCTCTTCCTTTCCTGTTTTCCTGAACCTCATCATTGCTATTGCTCATCTTTCTTTGAGACCTATAATGTTGGTCCTAGAGCTTATAATAAATAGTGTGTGCTAGAAGCACAAATGATAAAAGGAGAATATAATATTAAGAATTGCACTTTGTCTAATCCAAAGTACACCTATTCTTCCCTATCTCCCCACCTATTGTGAGTTAGCATCCGCATATCAAAGAAAACATTTGGCCTTTGGTTTTGGGGGGTATTGTCTTATTTCACTTAGCATGATATTCCCCAGTTTCATCCATGTACCAACAAATGCCATAATTTCATTCTTCTTTATAGCTGAGTAATATTCGTGTGTGTGTGTGTGTGTGTGTGTGTGTGTGTGTGTGTGTACTTTAGATTAGACCAAGCAGAATGAAGGGAAAGGAGAAAGGATGGGAATAGGAAAAATAGTTGAATGAATTGGACAATACTATCCTATGTGCATATGTGATTAAATGACCAATGAAATTCTACATCATGTACAATTAGAAAAATGAGAAATTATACTCCATATATGTATAATTGCCAAAATACATTCTACTGTCATGTATAACTAATAAGAACAAATTTTTTATAAAAAAGAATTCCAAGAAATTTATTCTTCACAGAAAAGGAAGTTGAATATTTGGTTCAGCTTTGTGGTTATCATCTATTTGCTACAAAATTCTAACGTCATGCAAAGCCTCAAAGATAATTCGAAACTCACTGAAAACCATTATATCCTTAATAATTCATTTGTTCATAAACAGAGAAAATTGTTATTCTATAGCTAGAGGCATAAACTTAATCACATCTATAATTTAGCATGAATTTATTTTGGTTGTGTATAGTGGCATGTATTTCTCAAACTGGGATACTTATATTAAGAGTGAGGTGCAGCAAGCCAGAGGATATATGAGCTCAAAAGACAAACCTGGGAGTTTTTCTGCATGCTAATTTTAATTAAGATTTAAGGCAGGGGAATAAAAAAAATGTTTAACACAATTGATAATGAACTTAAATAATTATGATACTAAAATAAACATGGAATAGAATGCTCACACTTCGTTCATTTAAAAGATAAAACATGAGTTTGTCTATTGTAGGGCAGAGGGGTTGGAGGGGAAGGGAGGGGGAATGGGGATATTAATGATGGTGGAATGTGATGGACATCATTATCCAAAGTACAGGTATAAAAACTCGAATTGGTGTGAATATACTATGTATACAACCAGAGATACGAAAAATTGTGCTCTATATATGTAATAAGAATTGTAATGCATCTACTGTCATATACATATATATATAAAGAACAATCCACTTTCCTTTACTTCAAAGGACTGACCAATGTAACCATAATTTTGAATGGCAATTAAGTTAAATATTTTTTTAAAAAAAGATAAAACATGAGACTAAAAATAAATTTCTTAATTTTTTGGGGGGAGCTGTTAAGGTCTGTAAACAAGGCAAGATGGTGCCTGGCATTTTGCAGAGGGAGTGGTTTGTGAAGTAACGCCAGCGAGCCATTAAGTGTGGAGATTCCTTATTGGTTGACTGCTGTACCTAGTTTATGCTAATTAAGATAAGCTGTGTGGAATGTATATATACCCTTCCTGTCCTACAATAAACGGCTCCCACTCCTGCTGTATAATGTACACAAGTTGCTCGTCACCCCCTGGTTAGTTTGCTGTAGCCGGACTGCAGCAGATGGTGGCCTATACCGGGAGCCCCGGGACACTCAGGGGTAAGTGATGAAAAAAAGCTGCCCGTAATAGGACGGGAGCAAATCTGCTCATCCCTAGGCAGATAGGGTGAGAGGAAAAATGGCCATTTTGAGAAAATGGAGAAGATTGATACAGGTTATTTTGCTGCAGCTGGACTGTGGCAGGGAGCCATTTCTTCTTCACTTGTAGGTCTAAGAAACACATCTTTTTAAAAAAAATAGTGCATTTTAACTATTCAGAATAATGGGTTTCACATACTCAGACATGGAAATAATATACCTTGATGATTATTCCCTGCCTTTGACCACTCTGCCCCCCTCTCCCTGATCCCCTTCGTCTCTAAAAGTCTCCCTGCTACTTTCATGTTGTCTCCCTACCACCCAAACCCAGATTCCACATATGAATTCCACCTGGGAGACTTGTCTTTCTGTATTCTCCCTTACCATACAACTCTCCCTGGAAGACTGGTTATTTGTCAGTAAGTGCAAGGACATATTTCTCTGATATGCTGTTGAGGAAATTAGATCTATTTCTAATTAGAATGTTTTAATCCTAAAAATTTTTTTGAGAATTAATTAAATGTTCAATGTTCAGTGTCCTGGATTTGAATAAATGCTACAACAATAATACAAGGATAAATTTACTTCACAAATGTAATCACTGGATAAAATTTTGAATTGTCAATGAACACATTTTACAAAATAGTGAAACAAAAAGTTGACAACAAGAGGGAGACTGCTGTCATCAGAGAGCCTATAGGCTGTAGTCCTTCTTCCATTGATCTTATTCAGAAACTGAATATACAGTCAATTTCAGAATAATTTTCTTACTTTACATCACTTTAGAAAATCTAAAATGATTTCATATGGTACTTTACATTATAATGAGATTCCAATGAGATTCCAACATTCAATCTTTTCTACTCAAAAAGAAAATACAGAGAAGGCAATCTGGAAAGAAAGGGGAGTTGGGATACAGGTCTATTTTTTCAAGACAGAGACCCAGATACTTACAAGGCATTGCATGGTATATGCTTGGCCAGTACTGCCCGCTGTCTCTCTTTAACCAAACACGAACTGTCCTACAATAGAAGAAAATGTGTACATGAAATCACAGTATTTTAGTCACAGGAAAATAGTGATACACAGAAAGCAAACTTCTTAACATTATATACATATTCACATTTTGACTACATATATGTATCTTAACCTTGCATTTTATATACATATATGTACACACATAGGTGACATTACGAATACCTCTAAAAAAACATCCTAGAATCCTTAAATTTAAGGCTTCTGTACATTTAGAATTACGTGACTCTTTAAATGTCATCCTCATATATGTATATACACAAGTCTAATCATGATAGCATTTGAAAAGTATTTTCACTGTTTTACTTTTCTAAGGTCTGATCTTTGCCCTTGCTATGGTTTGAAAATGAGGTGTCCCCCACTAAAGCTCCTGATAATGCAGGGATGCTTGGAGGTGAAAGGATTGGACTGTAAGAGCTATAACCTAATCAGTCCCTCCTAGTTTGGCAACTATAGGCAGGTGGAGTGTAGCTGGAGGAGGTGGGTCACTGGGGCGTGCACCCTCCCATCGGCCCCTTCCCTGCCATGAGCTCAGCAGCCTTCTGCCCCATGATGTGCTGCTTCACCTTGGGCCCAGAGCCATGTCATTGGCCATCTATGAACTAAGACTACTGAAACCATGAGCCTCAAATAAACCTTTCCTCCTCTAAGTTGTTCTTTTTGGATGTTTTGGTTACAGAGAGGAAAGAGCTAACAAAAACAGCCCTAGTCTACTTGGAGCATCCATCTTCCTGGGGGACTCATTAGATTTTTCTAGTGAAGAAAGTGCAAAGAGATCAAATGGAATAATATACAGCTTCTGACACAAACAGAAGGATTATACAGTAAGTCTACAGACTTGCAAGAGATGCTCTATCCTGAGGAACAGTTTTCCAAACATGGTCAAGCAATGGTAAGGTTTGATACTCAGATTTTCTGGGGTAGTGGCCGACAGGAGGCCCATTGTGGGACAGACTGGTACTGGAGCAAAGGGTGCATGAAGTTCCAGGTCAGCAGTTCAGATAGCAACCAGGAACCCAGGAGAGCTCAGAAAGCCAGAAATGAAGAGAGACTAGGGAGTACCACCAGGTTCTAACCAACTAGAAAGGCTCAGCAGTAAGTTACACCAGTCATGACAACATCAGCATATGCCAGTAAGGCAAACATAACTGAAGACCAAGGGACATTATTCCAGAGATCAGAGGAAATAGTGAACATATATCAAACCAAGGGCAACAGCATCCCAATGCCAGGAGAACACACAGGCTATACACCTTAGCCCACACCATCCCAGGGAGAGAAGCAGAGACTGAGCATTTATCTCAGAAAGAGTTGTTACCTAATGAGACTTCTGAAGTCGTCATATTGAACTAAGTTTCAAATTGAATTAAATATGCCCCACCCCAGCGAATCAGTGAGTCTCCTATAAATCAGAAGCAGGAAACAATCTAGAGCAACTATAGACACAATAAAGAAATATGATTTTCTCTGAACAACCTCAGTTATGATATAGTACTATGTAGGGACACATTAGATAGACATGGAAAATTCAAAATGCAAAATTCTTTTTGGTCAACCACACTAATTTGTGAGGTGGACAAGTACAATAGTTACTACTTTGTAAGAAGCAACTCTGAACCTACTCAAATATTTCAGTGTTCACTCTTTAAAAAATCTTCTTATAGTATATGTTATTAGTGTGACATTATAATATTGGTACTATCGTCTCAGTAAGAATCAATAAAGACAAGACATCACAGAAGATGGAAGAGCAGAAACTTCATAAACTTAGCGCCTCCACCAAGTCAACTATTAAGACTGGCAAGAATACCCATTAAGTTGGCAGATTCATCTATTTCAGAACTCTAATATCTACTTAAATGTTAAGTGTCGTGGAAAGTGAAATAAAAAAGAAAGTGGTAAATTTCAGTGAACACTGGCATTTAATAGTTGCAGTGTCACCCATGCCCCAGCCCATGGCAGCAGGCAATGGAGATAGTGGCTCTTCATGGTAGGGAAGTCTGCTGGTGCAGGGTAGGAAGCACATCCTCTACAATTTGATTTAACTGGAAGTTCTCTGAGAGACTGGAGCACAGGCTCCTCATTGTTTCAACTCCCTAGAACCAAAGGGCTTCCTGGGCAGTGTCTTTCAAAAGAAATTGAAGAGATGGAACTTTCTTTTTCCTCATTAGGGCCACAGCAATAACAACAGAGACTTCCATGATCACATACAACAAGGAATACCATCTTGACAAAAGTAGTTTGGAAAAGTTACTAAACAGCTATGGCGTTCAACAAAAACAGCAATCCCTGGAGAGAAGGGTGAATCTGACTCCTAGAGTTATTGCATTATAATATTAAAAATGTGTATTTTTAACAGACAATTGCAGAGCATACAAAGAAACAAAGTATGGCTGATTCACAGAAAAACATAATAAACTGACAGAAAACATTTATGAAGGGGCCCAAACATTGGGCTTACTAGACGAAGACTTTAAATTAGCTATCCTAAATATAATCAGAGCTGTAGAAACCATAGACAAAGAAATAAAAGAAACTGAGCTAAGGATATATGAACATATAGGCAATATCAATCAATAGCTAGAAATTATACAAGGGAATCAAACAGAAGCTTTATAAAAATACAATAACTGAAATGAAAAATTCTCTAGAGAGGTCTACTAGCAGTTTTGGGCAGGCAGAAAAAAGAATAAGCAAACTTGAAGACAAGACACCTGAAATTATCAGTCTAGAAGAAGAGAAAACAATGAAGAAAAATAAACACAGCCTACGGGACCTTTAACACATCATTAAGTGTACTGACGCTCTATATAGGAGTTCTATAGGAAGAGAGAGAAATGTTCAGAAATGTATTTGGAGAAAAATGGCCCCAAACTCCCTCAAATTCACAAAAGATGTGAATCTACTCATCCAAAAAACTGAATGAATTCTAAGGAGGATAAACACAACTAGGTTCAAACCTAGACTGTGGGGGTGGGGGTTTTTTTGGGGCGGAGGGTTGAGAATTAAACCCAGGGCCTTATACACACTAAGCAAGCATTCTACCACTAAACCACAAGCCCAGATCTGACATATTACAATCAAATTGTCAAATATCAGAGAAAAAATCTTGAAAGCAAGAAGAGTAAATTGACTCATCACATATATGAGATTATCAATAACATGAACAAGTCAATTTCTCATCAAACCATGGAGGACTAAAAGAAGTAAGATACTATATTTAAAGTACTCCAAGAAAAAAAAAAAGTGTCAAGAAAGAACTCTATATCTGGATAAACTATCTTTCAAAAATGAAGAAGAAACGAAGCCATTTTCAGATAAACAATAGTTAATAAAATTCATTAGTACTTCACTTTCAATGATGTATAGAGCATCTAGACAGAAGATCAATATGGAATCAGAGGACTCGAATAACACTATAAACCAATTAGACCAACAGACATACACAGAACACTCCCTTCAACCGCCTTCCTTAAACCAACCTGTGTTAAGGGCAGTTGACAAATTTTTACATCTAAAAATAAAATTATATAAAAAATCTGTTTTTTTGTATCCTATGATACAACAGCAGTTTAAAAAAGAAAAAAGATACTGCATCCTTGAGATTAAAAAATACAATCTGAATAGCTATAAATTTCCTAAGCAGATGTAAATTCCACTGTACAAAGCCACTGTACAAAAAAAAAGGTTTTAATTTTTCTGAACGCATATTTTAAAAAACCTACATAAAGTTTTCAATAGTATGTGAAAAGTTTTTTCTTTGAAAAAAAATTTTTTTCAGAAAATAATTGTGGCTAAGGAAGAGGGTTTTAACTCATTGTAAAAACACATGCTTAGCATATGTAAGGCCCAGTGTTTGGAAGGTGGGGATACAACTGATTACAAGACATACCTGAGCCAGTAGAGGTCAGTGGATCTCATTTTCTTGAGGAAGAAAAATGCATGTAAAGCCAGGCAAGTGTTCACTCACCCAACACACAATGCCTTGGGTTCTCAGGAACCCTACAGCGCCAATCCTATCATACTATCCACTTTGTATTGTCCTATTTCCTCTTCCCCTACCTCTTCCTTTCTTCCAAGCTCCCAGCACTAGGCAAAAGCAGACACTGGGGGAGAGGCAATGCTCATCTTAAAAAAAAAATCAAGACAAGGTACCCTTATGGAGGTCTCAATCAGTTCGGCAGCTGGGCTGTTCTGAAAAGAACATACTCTTAATTTTATGTTGGATAAAGCTCACCACAATTCAATAGGTAAAAATGGCACACTGTAACCACAGACAAACAAGCTACCTTCGTTCTCAGGAAGTTCACAGCTTGCTGGGGAAAACAGGTCGCAGAACACTACAAAACAAGGTAAGGGCTGCAGTGGGGAGATGGCCCTGCAAAATACAAGAGCACATGTAGGTCTCACTCCGAGGATGGATCCTGGTGGGGTCAGGTGGTATCAGAGGAAGCATCTTTGAGATGATGGATCAGAAATACATGATCAGAATTTGCCAGTGGAAAGTGGAGAGGAAATGAGAGCATGGTCCTGGTAACAGAGCAGAACAGGCAGCCCAGGGAGGCAGGAACAAGCAGCAGTAGTGAGAAACAGGCCTGGACAAAAGAGCAGACAGAAGGCCATCAAGATCCTTGAAGGCCATGCAGAGGAGTTGGAATTTCACTTTAAGGTCAGTGAGATCACTGAGGATAAGGAGTCAATCACATTTGTTTGTTTGGGGAAAGCCAGGAAACAACCTAGTTACCCTCAAGTAAATGGTGTGGAGATGTGAGCAAACCCAGGCAAGACAGGACAAGGGGGCTTGGATGTAAGTGATTAGAGCACTTGCCTAACAGGTGTGAGACTCTAGGTCTCACAAAAAAGAAAAATTCTAAAAGAAAAAAAAAAAAAAGGTTAAGTCCTTAAAAGAAGGGTGAGGACAGATTTTAGAACATCTAGGAAGTAGAAGAATCTGTGCTTGGGGGCCGACTGGCTGCAGGTACCACCT